TATTTTAATCTATTAGCTTGGGACAAAATCCATATCCACTGGTCACCTGTACCATAAGGATCAACGGAATGTATAATTGTAAATAAATAAATAAATAAATAAATGTAGCTGATGTTTAAGGTTCTGTGTAGACCACATTGTGTTGACTGCAGTATAACGGTTTTTTATCACATGGTGAATTTTGGTGACATGTAAATGTTTCAAACATAATTCCTTATTTAATAACTTCTCAGTACTTAAGAGAATTTTCATGTAAATAAATTACGTGTAATGGTCTGAGATCAGCTTCATAAATGAAGATGTATTCTATATTTGTAAGTTAATTCCATATTAACAAAAATTTAAATGTGTATAGTAATCTTATCTTATCATATTTCAGGACAATGAATATGTACTTGTGCAACTAGATAGTACACCACCCATCGCTTATCGAGATGTGCATGACAACAAGCATACAGATGACTTTGATGCAACTTTGATTGTTGCACATGATCGAGATGATCAGTCAGACCAGAGTAACCTCCATATGAAATATTACATCATACTTACCAGCAGGAGGTGAGGGGTGAAACGAGCTTCATATTTCCAGTTTCATATTCCGCCTCTGTTACTCTTTAAATTGTGTTGAATAATGTAATTATTTGACTTATTTAGGACACACACTTCTACATACTTTTTGCATTATTTTGTTGCATAATCAAGTAAACTTAATCTTTTCAAAGCCTGAAGTCATTATCTTAAGTACTCTGCATGTAAATGATTTCTTTGTCTTGAATTTTTTGAGGCTTGAAGTTTGATTTGTGAATGTTGGTGTTGTGTTTTGTATTTTACTTCTGTTGCTGTTGCTTTCCTGTTTATGCTTGAAGGAAGAGGACACTGGTATCCTTCATTATTTTGGCATGCCAGCATTTCTTAAATGTAGGAATTAGCGAAATCAGTATTGTACATGGCACTATCTATTTCATGCTAAAAGTAGTGAAAATAGTAAAGAGAATGGCATAAGCTTTGATTCTTCCCATATGCTGTATAGTTTCCTTAACAGTGTAATACATTTTATAGAGCATATTACATTGCTTAGTAGAAATGGACATGATACATTTAGGATGCACATAATAATTGACGATGACAGTCTGGGCAATGCTGTGTTCCTGATTGGATTCACTGAGCTCTTCACAACGTACAGTTATCTGTTTTTGTTGCTGTTCCATTATATCATTTTGCTGTGAAGGTCATACATTTTACACATACCTTTATTGGAAAACTGTAATATCACCCCAAAGTGCAAATAACTTTGTCATAAATATTTTTACAGAAGATAAACTGAGAGCTGTGTTCATTTGCTGAGATGCGAACTTGAAGACAGAAAAGATACCTACACTTATTTCTGTAGAATTGTATGCTGTCAGTTTTCTGAACAGGAGATATTTTGAAGCTATTATTCTGTGAAGATCATTAAAAGTATAGGTTTTTCAGGCATTATTTTTGTGATTTAATCATGATTAAAGTGTTGCAGATATTTGTTAATTACTTCTATAAAACATTTTTTATTCCACAATTCACCAGTTTTGTATATTCATAAATCCTAACTCGAATGGAAAAAAATACTCTGCAATTCCCACACATGCTATTACTATGATGCTTTCATAATGCACATCCAAATAATTAATTCCTTTAACATTATTCGTGCTATACTGAAGTTGCAGGTTTCTATTGGTTGTTTAAACCTGCTGCATTTGTCACTTACCCTCATATGTTCACATTTAAAAGTTAGCTAGAAGTATAGAGCTGCTATGTTGCACTGATTGAGGAAATATTTGATTATGACTGAAAAAAAGTGAATAGGTTTTTCATACTGGATTTTCTTAGAATATGGCACACTGCATAAATATTTATCACAGTAAACATCACCCTACTTACTGAATTCTCCCTTCTCTTCCATATTATCATTCTTGCTATAAAACATTGTTCCTAAATTGATACACAAATGAACCTTTTAAATGATTGACTTGCTTATGCTTTCCAAAATTTAGAAACCACTTGTCTTAACACATTGCGGACCGGTTGTTTAAATATTTAAATCACCCTGGGGACCGGGGTTTTTAAGCCTAGCACCCTAACTTGTGCAGTGTTCACTTTAAAAATTAATATAAAATCTCCTAATTAATTTTATGAACTAAAATTTTTAGAGAACATTTACCAGAGCTCCTAGAAGTGCTTGTGCATGTGATATCTCTGGAAACATTCCCCTTTGTGAAGAGAGCTCTCACTGTCACATTCACTGAGGCTGGCCTCGCTCTCAGAAGACGAAGCAGTTGGCAAGTCTGATAGCTCATCGGAGAACAAATCTAATATTTCTTGTTCTCCGAGAGAACTCTTCGCCTGCAACTGCTTTCGTCTCTGATCCATGTTGAACTGCTATCTTCCTGGTTCATATGTGGAAGCTTGGACTCGAACAAAGGCTTTTTTCTTTAGGATGTGACAGGAAATGACCGTGATCATGTTACTGGCTAAGCTAGCAAACATTCCTGAGGTCAACTATGCAGTAGTTGTGATGCAACGTGGCCACACAGTGAGATATAGTTGGTTGCAACATAACACGTCAGAAAAGGGCCAATTGGCCTGCCTGGTCCGCAGTGCTATAGAAACGTAGAGGGCCAATTGGCCCCTCTGGTCCTGAATGTGTTAATAATAAGAAATATTCTGGTTCCTGTCTCTTGATTCATATCCTTCATCTGACATATGAAATATCTTAATAAAATATATTTAAACAAATCCCGACTCAATCAGATCAAATCACATTCAGCTAGGGCAAAACACAGGCATCTAAAGATAACTATCATCAGCTTTACTGATCTCTCTTCCATGCTTCTATGAGTCTCATTCAGGCTCTGACATCTGGAACTAAAGTGTCTGCACTGCATATTGTGTTCTTTCACCATCTGTTTTCTGTTGGTCACACAGACCACCTCCAGTAAAGCCAAAGAGTACAATCAGTCCCCATCCTGCCAACACCTCATTTCTTATAGGCTAAGGGTGCAGAGTTAGCTGTATTGGTTCACTGCAGTTGTGAACAAAGTCTGAGTGACTGACCTGATCAAAATATTTAATGACTTATAATGCTCATTCAAACCACAATATATCACATTCTCTGCAGTGCCTGATTTCATTCTTTGCCTCTGACGTACACACAAATGTTGGTTGGTTTGTTTCCAATGGCTGCATTTTGGATCATTAAACCCATTTTGCTTCTTGCTTCCCAATAGAGAGCACTCAATTTCTTGCTTTGTTGCATCTTGAAGAAGTTTGTACTTTTCTTCTGGGAAGCTTTGCCAGGTTTGTTGCTTATTTTGCACTACCCAGGGGACACGTATGACTTATATTTTAATGTTGTTTGAGAGGGTAATAAATGTACTAGTTTCATCTTTTACCATCTCACAGAAAAATCTATCTACAAATAGATTGAAGTAGCCCTTTTCAACATTGCTGCCAGAAACATTGTGGGACAGTCCTTAAAGTTGCAAAAGAAGAAGGAAAGTCTGGTTCTGTTTCATATTAGCTGTTTTTCTTGTGAATGGGGCATTATCAATAGCTACATGAACATTATCCCTGTCTATTCACATTGGTCTTTGTTGTGGTCTTCATCTTTGCTCCATGATTCTACAGAACTGTAACTCTTCAAAATATTGGATATGTCACTGTTACACTGTAATGACAGTTTTATGTGCATTCACTCTTTGAGCTGTGACCTTAATGTTAATTCTGAAGTACAGATGGTGACACAGTGACATCAGTGTTATTGTTGTAAGTCATCTGGCCAAGATATTTTGCTACAGACAGTCTATGCATGAAAGGATCCAAGGAATTGTGTAACTTCATCTGAATGCAAATTCATCAACACTTAGCATGCAAATGAACAGTCAGGTTGACAGCATACTTGGTTGTTAAGCCAGTGCAGTGATATTTAAAATCCCAATTATTCTAGAATGTTAGGGGGTGGCAAAGGTTTAACTCATGATAGTGGGCTCTTAGAACACATTACTTTCAAGAAATAGTATTGGACAATAACGAAACTTTGTTTCTGCAAGAGTTCCATTATATTAGCCACTTGCTTACAGCAGGGAACTGAAAAATGCTTGCTCCCACTGGCCAACACTTTATAATCTGTGCACATGAGAAAGTGTCATTAAGAAACTTAAAATCAACCATAGTCTATGCAGTTATCCTCTTGAAGCTTTCTTTTTTCAGCCACAGAACAGAGCCAAAGAGCTACATTTAAGGTGAACACCGTGATTCTCAAAGCTTGTCAGTAGCTGTTGAAAAATATTAGAATTCTTACTGTTTTATAGGAAACATTTACAGTGTTTAGTTCAGAGTTTTCTTTGACTGAAGATGCCATCAGTACAAGATGTTCTTAACTATGTTGCCAGTTTCAGTTAAAGATCAAAAACAGGTCACCTCAGTGTTCTGTGCCATGAGTTTTTGCCATTCTGATGAGCTACATTCAGCATTAGGTTCCAAGGAGTTAAAAACGTTAATCAGCAATCTTATACTTGGATTATCATGATATGGAAAAGTTTTTAAATTAGTTATTCTGCATGCTTGCATCATTTCTCATCTCATATGTGACTTACATGCAATTGAAAATCAGCCTCTGGGTATCAGTTTAGTCCACTTTTATCTGAAAAGTTTTCTTCTTTATTGTGTAAGTATAGAAGTGTACTCAACCCTTTAAGGAAAATGCTGTGCCAAATTGGCTTTTATATCCTAAATTCATATTTTGTTATTCAGATCTAATATGGATCTTCCATAAAAAAAATATCACCAACATATAAGAAAGAGGATTCTGAAGGGTCCTAATGATGGTGTATGACACTCAAGATTACTGGGTTTCTGAACTTCATCCATCATCAATATTGTAAAAAATAACTAAATAACACAATATTTCAGAAACTTAATCTGTTTCCATCCTCAGGTGAAAGAGTGGGAGGCACCTATTCTGTTGGGTTTTTTAGAAAGAGCTAACCTCAGTCACTGGATAACCTATGTTATTAGAACTATAGCTATAGCACCTGAGATCAAGCCTCTTTAAAGGTATTATCCTGGCATTCTCCTGGAGGGACTGAGAAAATCCACAAGAAACCTCAGTCTGGATAGTCAATGTCCCCGCCAAGATTTCAATGCAGCACCTTCCAAATAAAAAACAGGAGTGTTGCCCACCAAGCCAGCCTACGCAGTCTCTTAAACATGTCACACATTCTTTGTAGCATGTGTTTTCAAATGAATGTATATGACTTTTAATATAGCTTTATTCTTTAATTTTGATGGGAAAGAAATTATCAATGTAATAAGTTCCCAAGCCAGAAGCGTGTTCACTGGTGCAACAGACACATAAAATGAAAGATTGTTAGGAACTGTATCAAAATCGGAAATGGCTCGGTATGATAAATATTTGTTGGTTAGAAGGTGTGACAATCCATGAAAGAAAAAGAGGTGATTTAGTGTGTTTCATCATATGCAAAACTTGTATCTGTTCCTCATTTTATATTTTATATTATTTACTGTGTCTTCAAACAATTATTTTCTGTAACCAGATATGGTTTTCATGTCCGTTTGTTTTCGTTCACAACTACTTCAGTGAACGCCACTGAACTTGCTTCTTGCACTCATCTTGTCACTGCCAGTTTGGTACTCACATCTTGCTTTTCATTCTACTGTTTCAGCACACATGAACACTGCATGCCACTTCCAACACATGCTGACTCAGCTCACTAATTCCACACACTTTTGTTATGGCATATTTGTTCTGGAACATTCTGGCCAGCTCCACATTCCAGAACAGTCTAGAAGCTGATTGGGGAGGAAAGGGGGAATGAACTTGAGAATCTTCCAGAGAAAAATGTATGCCACTGGCATATGCCCCCCCCCAATTCTCTCAATTTCACTACTCCCTTCTTGAGGTACTCATTCTGAGTAGAGCCTAGATATGTCTCAATTCAATTCAGTTCAATTCAATATGTCTCCAGGGTGTACACAATTAACCACCACCATCTTCACTCTGGGATGATGCTGGATCTGATATATTACATCATTGATCTGGGTAACCACCTTCTAAGGGCCTTCCCAGGTTGGATGCAGTTTCAGCATCTTCCCTCTTGTCTGGGTTGAATAGTACAGCCAAACCTTGTCTCCTTCATGGAATCCAGCAGAGTTGGTTAGGTGGTCATAGCAAGCTTTCATCCTGTTGCTGGCTTTGGCAATCCCCTCATGTCATGCCCTGCCATTATACCGATTCGTTAGGCCTTGGCTCTGGGTTTAGTGGCCTCAGCAGGATGCACAGATGTCACATTGTCGGCAGCACCCATTCATGCATAGCCAGTAGTACCATTGTCTGATTTTGTTCAGGGTTTTTCTGATGCCTAAATGTCCTCCAAGAGATATGCCATGGAGATCTCCACTTTGCTCCACCATAGAGCTATTTGGTCTGTCTTGGACCTTCCATCAGGTGACACCCAGTGACACTCCAACACACCGTCTGTCACTGCCAGGGAGTTTAACTGAGACCATTAAGTTTTATGGGTGGGACTGGAGCCAGCAGTGCCCTTGCATTTGGGATGCTCTCCAGCCTCCGTTTCCCATAGAATCAGCCTCAAATTATTGTAATCCAACTGCTCCCTCCTCATGGCAGCACTGTCCCAGCCACTCATGGTGGCAGCAGGAATAATTTGTACTTTCCAGCTGCCCAACTACCATAGAACTTTCTGGAAGTGAGTGCAAGCTTTAGGGTATGGTCTTCTAGAAAGTGCATCAAGTCAGTTGTCCCATCATCCTGGTCCTTTTCTCTCCTTGGTGGTTAGCCCTCAAATTTGGTCTTTACTATTGCCAGTTGCATCTCAAACTCCCATCATGTGACTTCCTGGTCACATTAAGTTGCTTCTGTGTCTTCTCATGTCTTCTGCAACTCACTGCCAAAGTCCCCATGAAGATTCTGAGCCTGCTGTTTAACTCTTGCCGTGATGCTCTTCAACTGTTTGTCTATCATATCTATTATTACAGTTTTATGTTTGTAATTAAACCCAACTCAATCAACAAAACTAAACTGAATATCTGTTATTGTTTCATTGAATTTGCTCTGGACAACCTTCATGTCACCTGTTTCGATCTTTAGTTCATTTTGGTGGGCTGCCAGTTGGTCTTGTCAAGTACTTACACCATTTGTAAGTTCTTCCCTGCTGGTGTTTACTTCTTTTTTTAATTTCTTCCTGGCCAACACATATGTCCTTTTTAAGTATTTAAGTTTATGTCCTTTTTGAGTTCTTTTAACTGTTCTGAAACTGCATGCCATACTGGATCCATTTTCATTTCCACTTCTGACACAAATAGCTTGTGTTAAAATGGTTTTTCTAATGGCTGCAACTTAAATCTCCTCTTGCATTTCAATGTTTGGTTGAGTATTGCTACTGAAGATGAATGGCCCACAAATACTGCTAGTTTGGTGTCATACAGGAAGAAGTAAGATTATTACAAGAGCTGATAACTAGTGACATGAAGTGTCAGTTTTACAGAACTCAACAGTCGCCATATTATCTTTATGCTGAGTCAAATGACCTTACTTATTCATTATGATTTTAGCAAGTTGAATCAAATAACTTGATTGTGCAATAAAAATGTTTGAAAATAATGTTTATTTGTGATATTCTTTTCTTCTTTTGATTTCATGAAGCTTTATTATCCACCACCATTTCAAGCTAAGGTAACGGAAATTTGCATCCCAGTAACCTATATGAGGAGTTTTCGGGACAAAAGTTTTATGTAGGATGTATATAAACAATTCTGTAAAATATTTGCTGAAACACTTTTAGTGCTGAAAGAATTATGTTTAGAGCCATCCATGACCTTCATATTTGCTCCTTTACAGTCTTCTTTAAGGCCGCGCCGTAGCTCAAGCAGTTAGTCGCTGGCTTCCCACCGCGGCGGCCTGGGTTCGATCCCAGGTCTGGTCAAGTGGGATTTGTGGTGGACAAAGTGGCGCTGGGGCATGTTTTCTCCAGATACTTCAGTTTCCCCTGCCATTCTTCATTCCACCAATTGCTCCACAATCATCCTCACCTATCATCTGGGGCTGGTACAGTATGCCAGAAGTGGCCACAGTACAAGGGACTTAGTCCCACCCCACTAGCAATAAAAAAAATACGGTCTTCTTTAAATTTGACCTATGTCAAAGTGAGGGGCTGACAGATCTCCAGATTCTTGTACTCTTGTCTTTAAATCCATTTCCTGCTATTTTACAGCTTAAGTAAACAAACGCTGTATTCAGTTATACTGAATGTTTATCTTGCCCTCTGTAGAGAACTTTATCCCAAACTTGAGATGGAGCCAAAGCTAGGGAAATTCTGCACTGTTTCAACGGCTTCTGTAATGACACCACTGCAGCTGGGGCATGCGGGAGGCTCTGGGGAGATAGATAATGCTGGTGTTGGGTCAGGGAGCAGAGAGTGGCATGGTAGCCAGGATGCAGATAGCAACACCACAACCAACATCAAGCCTGAGCTTGAGCACATGGCAGAGCCTGAGGCAGAACAAGATTGTGAATCAAATCATGAAACTGATCATAATGCAGACTCCAGCTCAGAAAATGTAGGCAGCTCAGACTCAAACCCTGACCAGGTGACATCGATGCCTACACCTACACAACACATCGAAATCAGGTACCAGCTCATGTTGAAGGATTCACATCTTAAACATATTTATCAGGTTAAAAGAAGGCATTTAACCCAGTATCAAATAGCTGTAGGTAGGAGAGTCAAGCATAAGATGGCCATGACATTAGTACCATATGTCTAATATTTTTGCCTGAACTGCCCATTGTATGAGTATTCAATTAAATTAAATTCAAAAAGTTCCTAAGTCGACTGATTCGTTGTGAGAAATGTGGTGTGATTACTTGTTAATGGTAGGAGTAGTTGAGCATAATCTTAGTGTTTTAATCATGTGTTAACGTTTACTGGTGAAAGTTTCACACAGAAGTTTGAAAGTGGAATTACACTACTTGAATTTTTGGTTAACATGATGTGTTTACTGCCTCTGCAGCTGGAGGAATGTAAAATCCTATAACAATAAGTAGCCAATAATTCATGTTGTGACACTGATACAATGCCTACTGGTTGTTTCAGCTTCACAATCAAAAATGGAAAATGTGCGATTTACATAGTTTACACTGTGTATAACAATAAAAATTATAATACATACAAATACATCTTACGACCATTCAGCTCATTCCCTTAAGCAGGTGGGTTATAATATTTTGACATTCTGCATTTTGTTTCTGTCTCAACACAACAATTATCAGAATCTTGTTCACATTTCACTGTGACACACATCATACACAGTGAAATGTGAATGAGATTCTGGTAGTTGTGTTGAGACAGAAACAAAATGAAGAAGTTATGTAAGGTAGCACAACAAGAAGCATTCCTTGAAGATAATACTATATGTTGATCAGAGTGAACAATGCAGTTCTGTTTAATACAGTAGAGATACAAAATTGATTCAGGTACATTTATTGTTTGTTACTGGAATATGACTGCATTATAATTTTATATTAGTATTATATGATATGTACAATAAAAGATTAATCTATTATCTGAAGGCCATCTGTAATGCTCTAGACTCTAACTTGGTCATGTCTTTTAACAAAATGTATTTTATGGTTTACAAATTATTTTTCTACAAATTTATGAACAGGTCTAATAGTATAAGACTGAAATAATACTGAAAATTTAAAGGACTCAGAAAGAGTGGTTTCAGTGACGCACTTTATAAATATCTGGTGCTTTATAGCATGTATCCGTAGGAGGGCATCTACTTCTGATGAATATGGTTAACATTGAAGAGTAAAGTCTGCTGTTTACTTTTTTGTTTTGAATGAACTGATTTCTGTTCTGAAGGTGTTCACTGACCATGTAGAATACTATATATAGATCGGTTTGATCCTGTATATATATCAGCTTCACAGTCTTTCACCCTCACTGCCTCTCCAATATGTATTTTCTGAACTCATGTTTGCTTACTTGTGTCTTGTCTCTCTCTCCGCATGCTTGATTGCTGGTGACAGGACACATCCTAGTGATCACCACTTCTTTCTGTTTGTAGGCTTTAGCACATACATTCACAACATTTTATTTGTGTATATTATAACAGTCATAATTGTGTAAGATTTCAGATTTTGACAGCAGTTGATATTCAGATTGTAGTTTTCTGGCTTGTGGAAGTATGTGGTCTTGTAGGTGGACACCAACGTTTGGAGGAACATGCTACATGTACATTCAGGGTCTGCCACTTCAACCCTGAAGATGAAAGCAGCAAGTTCCTCTAAAACGTTGGTATCCACCGACAAGACCAGTGGTGTTACCATCCAGGAGACCACAGTCAGTTGTCACATTTAAGAGATGCATCACAATAACATTCTTTTCTCAGGTAAAGATTGGAAATAATTATGGTAAGTGTAGGGATCATAAGTATATACTATGTATATTTGCTGTTAAATTTTGTAAACCTGACCTTCAGTCTTTTATTTAAGAATGTCAAATGCTTCCTTTCATGTTAAAAGTACTCTCAGCATATTCAATCAAAAAATAGTATTATGTATTAAGTCACTGTTTATTAAACAATGCTTTCTTATTGGCATAGGTTAAATATTGCCAACATTGATAATCATGAATTTAGAAGTGGAAGGATAGAGAAGGAAGTGTTTATGTTCTATTTTGAGGCATTGTCCTGGAAGAAGTGAGGAAAACTTAAACTTTATGTTATGGTTGCTGGTTTCTAGGCCTGAAATTGAATGTGGGACCTCATGAATAAGGAAGAATTGTAATCATTCATCCACAACTTTTAGCACAGAAGATAGGGATTCTTAGGTTTTTACATCAATTGGTGAACCTAGAGAATGGAAAACCCTGCTCTAAACTTTATTCTCTAAATGTATGTTATTCTAACATTATGGTTTACAGCTCAGACAGGGTTCAATAGGGGGTGTTAAATTCGGCCCATGTAATAAAGTTTTCTCACTACTACTTGCTGAAATTGCCAAGAAGCATACAATGAATTTTAAGAAGTGCAAATTGCAGATGGATCGGTCATGACTTACCTTGCAGTATTATTAGATGCTAAAAGAGTAATGAAAATGTTGTTTGATACCATTCCCACTGGTAGGATTGAACATAATCTTGTACATTGAAGTCAAAGTAGAACAAGCAAGCAAGGTGAGCACTGATTTTTCTCAGTCCCTCCAGACACATGTCGCGGTAACCCTTTAAATAATACAATTTTGTCATAGTCCTTGCTTCTCTCAGTGTAGTACGGAACTTTAACATTTGGCATCACTAAATATCCATTAGACAAATCAGGTCCAAATGACAAGAAACATGCCAAAATTCTCATGTAATTTTTTCTGCTACTCACTCACATTTATATTATCCAGTGTTTTGCATTGACGTTTAGTTACTAAATAATAGTATGTTATGTTTGTATACCTAACACTTTTATATATAATTTTTTCATCTCAGAAGAAAAAAATATCATCATCTGTTTAATCAATTTATGAATGTGTTTGGTATTTCAGTTTAATTTCCTGCCACAATTTCTAAGAAGTCCGCTGCCAATTATGTGTGCTGATGTAGAGATTCATATATTGGCCTGCTAATTTTTCTTTTTGTTGTTGTCGTTGTTGTATTGCTAGTAATGATATATGCCATGCATTCATTCATATTGTTATCTTACAAACCAGTCATTGCTAACTGAGCTTTATCTTTATCACCCCAGTGTGAATGAGCAGGGGCAACATATTATCTGGCTCCTACCACTTGACCTCCCTAAATTGGGTGACCTTGCCAGGAGCTTATGCTCCCACTAGCATAGCCCTCCAGGTGATTAGAGCACTTGAACATCACCACATTTGGGTAGCAGCCAAGGTAGATGTTGATATTAACTAGATACTGATGAAGTGTATGGAAGCCCTATGAATGAAATTATAATTTTCTTAAGGCAGAAGGATGTTGCAATATAGCAATTAAATACTCCTGATTCATATTTTGGAGGTTCTGAATACGTATCTTGGATGTAACACCATTGCCTTGATTGAAGTTTTTATGGCTTTACTTGGTCCCTTGGGGTGATTACAGGATAACACATTAAAGTAGAACATGATCTTACCTTTCCACATCCTAGTCAAATCACAATTGGAATTATCCTCTGCTACATAACTTAATCAGCAGGTTTATGAAATAACCCAAGAAATGTTCATAATCTTGCGTGGTGTGCCTAATCTGCCAAAAGAATAATCCCTAGAGAATATAACATATATGTTTAAAAAAAAGCATATAATTTAAAATAATTATCTCAGAAATGTAGTGGTTTTATATCAAACATTCTTTGATACTATGAAAATGTGACAAGTTATGTCAAAAAATGGATATAATTTCTCAAGTCAAATAGGTGTCCCATTTGGATAATGTAAGCTAATACTTACACATACAAAACTGGAAGATTAAGTTTTTGTTAATAAACTCACCTTCTGCTTTTCTTTAAAATTCTGTCTGCATGCACATGCATGCATGTGTAAATGTACAGATTAAGCTTTATTACTAATATGAAATTTCAAGCATGTCTTAAAATTTACATGCTTATCATTGCATTCCATATCAGTTTTATTTAGACCATGTAATGCAACGTGTTTTGGCTTCGGTAAGCCTCCACAGTGTTATCATATATTCTTTACCTTAGAACTATTCATTATGTGAGTATATTAATACAGAACATTTGTTTAATCATTCTATAACGGACTAAACTTAATAATGTTAAAAAGACAAGCACTGATCAGAAAGTAACATATGGTGAGCTGTTAACAAAACAATCAATGAGAAAAAATTATTGTCTACAAAATACGTATGTGTGTATACTTAAGCAACTTCTCAACATAGTCATTGCTAGAACTGAGGTACCTGTCATATCGAGGAATAAGTTTTTTATGCCTGCATCAAAGCAGTCTTCCACCTGTGAACTCAACCACGTTTTGACACCATCCTGACACTCCTGAATATTGTTGAAGCACTGTGATCCCAACCAGTTCTACAGGTAGGTAAACAAGTGGTAGTTGTTGGGAGTGAGTTTGGGGCTGTAAGGATGATGGTCAAATAAATCCCAGTTGAAATAGTCCAGCATTGCAAGCAGCTATACGTGTATGCAGGCATGCGTTGTCATGGAGGAGTACTACACTGGATGTTAACATTCCACGCCTTTTGTTGTGAATGGCCCTACGCATTTCTTTTAGTGTTTCACAGTACACTTATTGTGGTCCCTTGTTACATGAATTCCACCATCAGCACTCCTTTCCTGTCCTGAAAAACAGTTGCCAATTCCCATGAGGACAGCACAGTGAAGCTGAAACATGTTGGGTAACAGTAAAAACTAATGAAGTGGCTATAATTATGTACTGTATATTCTTCGTTAGACAGACTAAATATAATATTCTAGTATGGCACTTTATTTGTTTCAACCAAAAGTTCAGTTGACATTTCAAAGAAACATGTCACCATAAACTTATGAGATCAGATCTCTTATGAAGTTTGATAGCTTTATGAGTTGTAATGTAGCAGTAAATAATCATTGGTAATTATGGAAAGAAGAAACACTTAAATTACAGCCAGATAATAAACTTTAAGTTGTGAATGTGGTCATTTTAGAAGCATGATTTTAATCACACCTGCTCTTGCAGTTTTCATTATTTATAGTGTATAAATTTAAATAGTACTGTACACTCCTAATGAATCTGTGAAGTGTACTTGAATGTGTAGCTTTCTTTCTAGGCAAGAAGCTGTTAATTATCTGGGATACTACTCATCCCATGAACAACTTATGCAGCAGTTGATTCTGGAACAAGCCAACAGCGCAGTTCAAAGGATATGTTCAATGGTAACTCAGGGAATGGTGCATTGTCGAACACACCTGCTGTGGAACAAGCTGCAGTGCTCAGCTTCTCGTGACTGGGAACGTCGTAGAGATAGGGAGGAGGTATCACCAAGAGATGCGGTAGGCTCTTGTTCCCCTTTTAACCCTTTTTCATATTAGTTTCTTCTAATTCAGTTAGCTGTATGTTACAGTTATGGGAAGGATAGTTATCTTCATCTTTTTACTTCACACATTAACTGTTGTAGGATTTGTTCCATTGTTAGTAGATTTCTGATAGAGAATTTAACTGACAGAAGTCAGGATCATTTTGAAGTCATTTAAAATTATAACTTGTAATCCTAACACCAGTATGGAAAGTAAAGTAATTAGATTAAATGTAGAATTATTACAGCTGTCTCCTTTTACATGAAGTTTTATATTCTTCCCAGATAGTGTACTTGAAGCTAATGTTTCATATTGCTGATATTTTGTGTTTTGTTATATTAGTTTGCAGGACTTACATACAGTGAGTTTTGTGAGCTGCGGAATCTTGCCATTGTGGAGCCCTTAAGTCAAATGGATTCACGTCTTTCACCACTCCTTTGTCAGCCCCTTAGCTGGTATCAAGCTCTGTCAAAAGTATTAATGGCAAAGTATGGAGATCACTGCCGAATGTTCATGGCACCAGATGGCAATGTTCAGCATATTGTCATCTTGCACCCTCGCTATGTGGAAGCCTTCATGATGTTATCTATAGACTTACATTCATCTCGTGGGGTAAGTTTCTTTTAGCGGTGTATAACTCAATACTTTACTACAGTGATGCCTTGTGTATCTGACCTGCTTCATTTAATCAGATTGCCTTGTTTCTACATACATATTATCATTTGATCAAGTGACCATAGATGGGGTTTGAATTGGTAATCATATTTATTTGGCTCTTTAAACAACTCATGACTACACTTTGCAGACCACTGCCACAAAAAGACCAGTTTTCTTAGTCAGCAATTTTCACTGTGCTGCTTGGTAACATCTTCCAAGAGTGGACTTTCCTCTGCTCCTGGGCTCACATCCTCACAATCGGATGGCCGTCTCACACCAACTTCATACTCTTCTAATTGCTGTCTGAGGACTCTCGTAATTGCAGCTGGGCCTCATTATATGGTCTCAGCATGAACTTCACAGAAAGTACCGTTTCCAACAGTGACTATATTGTTGTGCGTTACACAGCCGTTACCCAGCAATTGCTGTTTCTATGGCTCCTCAGTTCTTGCTTTGCGAAAATATGCCACAGTATTAATTATTTCAAGGTTCCTAGTTAGTGCTATGTATTTTGTTGTGTAAGAGATTTAGAAACCAAAAGTAAGGTTCAGACTAAGTACCATGCCATGAAAACATATAAGTTGAATAGAAACAAAACTCTGCCCATTCTTTCTTTAGCAGTGTATTGACATGAGGTGGCAGCTTCAGTGTCTTTTTCAATTTACCCTCAAGGAAGATGTCCCCAGTATCCACTGGCTAAGAGGCCAGGAAATCCCCAGTGTAATTATTTATGTGTATGGAAATTGAGATATATAACCAAGGTTGTGCAAGTTGTTCCAAATTTAGAGTCGAATGAAGTTTAATTAAAACTAGACTTGAACTAATAAAAATGTTTGAAAAATTGAGTTTAGATGTTTATTTTGTCATTTTCAATATTGCTTCTAGGATATATTTTCTTTGCAGTCGATGAAGCAACCATCAAATTTCAGTTCATAGTGTTATTGATAGTGCATAGTGATCACCAGCCTGTCGCACTACAGGTATTTTGGTTGGATATGTGCTCATGTGGGGGGCAACTGGCCATAAATGATGCAAAGAAATTGACATCAGGCTTCAATGAACTCTGTAAAAAAAGGAATATTATATTTAAGCATCCTGTTGCACTCCATACGATAAATGATATAATGATACAAATTCCGTCCCAAGTGCAAACAATATATTATGTGTCCTTGATCTTGTTCATCCACACTACATGTAGTAAAGAATAACAGCGGCACGCACACAGGAAGACTACACAGGATAACACCTATACAGTGTGGAAACAAGAACTAGCCGCTGCATCACTTTAGACATAGGCCGAGTAACCCTAACAATTTTAAATTTAAAATTTAGAGAAAAAAAAATTTTAAAGGATTTTAAAATTAGAACTAAAGATTTTATAGTGCTACCACAGGTACGTCAAAATTAACATGTGTAAAATAATCTACATCCAGACAGATATCAACGAAGTAGATGTTGATAAGAACAAGGAAAGTGGTTTAAATGTTAAATTTTGGGCTGAGTGCAGTGTGACAGCGACGTGAGTGTTATACACCTGATGATGGCTGTCTGAGGCCGAAACATGTAGTGTGGATGAACAAGATCAAGGACACATAATATATTGTTTGCACTTGGGATGGAATTTGTATCATTATATCATTTAAAAAAAGGAAGATCAACAGTTGGACATTATCATCATAGTGTTCAAGCACAAGAAAGACTTGGTCGAATGCAAAAGAACATGGGGAAACCTGAATACAATGTCATTCAGGGTGTTGATACTTAATGGAACACTGAGTATAATGTGTTTTTTAAAGCTTGATGAACAGAAGAGACCAGTTTCTACTGAGTTAGCTGAGAGTGTCAAGCTGGAATGCTTTGTTCAAAGCTGAGTGGCAGATGGTCAGGTGAAATGGTCAACATTTTACAACCTATCAACCAAGCACATGCAGAATTAAGTGGAGAATCATATCCGACCCTCCCCATGGTAATTCCTGTAATAAGCAACATGCAAACACTGCTGGAGAATTACATAAGAACTACAGGTGAAGACAGTGACTTGACATTTGCAAAGCAATTGCTGAGGGCTTTCAATGCTCATTTTCCCACTTCCAGGAAAACGAAACCAGATGCTCTAGCCATGATTTTGGATCCCAAATTTAAAGCCATACTATTATTAGAAGATGAAGTCAAGTTGGCAATAAGTATACTTGAGAAGGAAATCTGTAAACATGTTCCAGAACCACAGTCACAAATAGAAGTACAAGAAAACTCTGATCTATCCTGTTCCCCATGGAGTTCTTTTGACAAACTTGCTAAAATGAACAGACTTACTGAAAATAAATAACATGTCAAAGATCAGATCAGCAAATACTTAATTTAGTCTTAGGTCTAAGTGCATGGGGAAACCCACCCTCTCTAATAACTAACTAACTAACTAATTTAGCCTCATGTATGGTGGAAAGATAATAACTGGTAGTACTGCTGTCTTCAACCTCTGGCTCGACGTTATTTACCCATACCAACCACACAAGTTGCTAGCAAGAGACTTTGCTCTTATGCAGAAAACACTGACTATATGCAGAGCAAATCTGAAGCCCTACAATTAGGGAAACTAGTGTTCGTTCACCAAAACATGGAATAAAGTTTGAGTTTTTAAACAAGCCATGTGATGCCAAATATTAAATTGTGTACATAGGCCTAAGTTAACATATACAGGGTGTCCCAGGAGGAATGTGCCAGACTTCGGGAGGGTGTTCCTTATGTTAAAGTATGCCAATATAACCCAAAACACCTATGTCAAAAGTTGAACAGTTATGGAGATAATGGCCCGAGAAAAGTATGGTCTTCTGGCAGATCCACGCACTGTACCTGTCAGCTGACAAGTCTTATCGATGTTTGTCCTTGATGACAGGACATGATGTGTTGATGACAGCTCACACTAGCCACATACACTCGCATACCAGAATGCGCAGTCAGCCATGTTACGTCAGTACTTGCCATTCATGTGTCATGTATAGTGCTTGGAATCGTAACGACAACTATGACATGGCATCCAAGTTTTCTTGTAGTTCAATTTAATGGCTTCATGTCACTCACAAGTTAGTTTGATGTTACATACATTACTAACATTACAGAAACTACGTACTCCTGCCAGTTTTATTATGTATTTGGTAATCAACAAGTGTATAACACCTGTCAAAGTTTCACACTCCTCTGGCCATTATCTCTGTAACCGTTCAACTTTTGACTTTTGGGTTATATTGGCATACTTTAACATAAGGAACACCCTTCCAAAGTCTGGCACATTCCTCCTGGGACATTCTGTATATTTCCAGTTATATTTGAATGGATGCATGAACTAACAAGATAGCAGATACTGGAGCAGAGAAAATCCACGTATTATACATGAAGTTTCATTCCATGATGCAGTAAGCTGTTGTTCTGAATGCATTGTGTGCGAAGAGGATTATGGGCCTTGGGGTTTTATGCAGACACAATTAATTCTGACAGATACATAAGGTAGATACTCTGATGGACCAGTAACCATCATTATATGATGTTGTCACCACTGAAGACTTTGTGGGAAGGGCAGAATCCTACTTAGTTGGCATACATAATGCAAAGGCTTTTCTTTGGCGTAATGAACAAATAAGCACATCATAATTACATGTGCCAAAAATAAGCAGTTGCCAGTTGATCAACCGATTTACTCTGTAGCTTGTCCCACTGAATAACTTCAATTGTTTCTGTACTTCCTCATCTCTCACTTGCAAGATTTTAGGGGCAAAACCAGTATTTCTATATTTGATCAGTTTATATGTTTGTACTATATTATTTAAAACCATGCTCTATATAGAGGAATTAAATGTTGTCAGAACTGTAAAATAGATCAGCGATCACCAATTAGTCTTTATGCCTTCATTTAAAACACCTTTGATTGTATTCATGCTTGTAGGCGCTTGTGGCGGTTTTAAACATCAGATATAAAGAAAACGTGCTAATCTCTCCAGCAAATGAAGAAATGCAGTAAGAGATACACAGACATTTGTGATTCCAAAAATTACTTTTCTATACTTGGGTTCTACAACAAAATTGTATACTGGAATTTCAAGACCAATTCTTTAACTACTGTGGATCTGTATAAATGTAATCAATTTTTCAACAAGAATTCAAGGGTCATTAATAAGTAAAGAAAAGCAATGAGGTGTGTGAAAGTACCATTACATTGGCATGGCACACCACATCCCTGTCATTTTCACTTGAACAAATCATGTTCTTTTGTTAATTTTTCGCTATGAATCCATTAAGAGAAGTGAATGTACAGGCCAGAATGTTATTACACAGAGGAATTTGGATGCTTTTCTCCCTCCGCCTGCTGTCTTTAGCATGCAGTATTCTGATTTTCTTTGTATGGTTTCTGGTAAATTTATTGGCAGAAATTATTTCTTCTGTGATGTTGAGTGTGTACTTTTGTTTTAGTACTGGTAAAAATGTCTCATAATGGTGAACACTTAGAATGCTTTTCTGTTAAATGTGTCATCAATTTAAAAATCAGAAACAAATTTAATAGCTACAAATTTGAATGCTTTTAATACAATGTACCCCTTTGTCTCTCAACAGATTTTCATAACCCATATCATGGCCAAATACATGAGTTTGTCACAAAGCACTAGAATTATGTGTTCGGTTACATAATAAATGCAATGAGAATGTTATTTAAATTAATCCCAGTTAACTGGAAAGTCAGAATATAATGTATTGCTGTAAGGAATAAACCTGAAATCAGGTTTGTACAGTGTCTGTTGTAACAGTAATTTATAGTTATATTTGTTTGCAGGATCTTGCTGTTGTATACCAGAAGGCTCTGCCAGATAGAGAACATGCTTCGTCAGATTGCCTTGAATTCTGCTTAGCTGACATTCAGGCTTTGGTGGAAGGTTTTGTTAATGCCTGTTGTTTCCATTTGTGGGGTGGATTACTGTGATAGGACAGCACAGAGTTACCCGATTAAACCAGCACTTAATAGAAGGATCAGGGGACCTGCTTGAGAAGATTAAATGCTTACAAATAATATTCAGACATATTCTTTATAGGGTCCTTTCTATCATTCAAAGGATTTTTTTAATAATGTGATAAAATTATACAGTAAGAATACCATACACTTTTTAAACCTTTTTGTAAAAAACCAGGTGTATGTCATATTTGGGGTTTGGGTGTAGGTGCCACAAAGTGCTACACATGTGAATATATTATAAAATCACACTGCAGTAGACTTAGCAGCACTATTTGCATGAGGCATACATTCACAGTCATTTACTGTTAGTGAGAAACTGCCAAGATTTAGGAGAAAAAGAACAGACACAATTGTACCAGGCCAGGGAGTTGAATGTAGAGTAAATGTTGCATGCAGCACTAGTCTAAATCGCAGTCTTAAGCAGGCTTTTCATGTTCAAAATGCGAAATTTGGAAGGATAGAAGAAAGTCTTTTTTCATGACATTTTAGGTTTTTGTGACAATAGAAAATTAAATTGTGTCTTCTGGGTTAGGACACTATGTACTCCCATAGGTGGATACCAACATTTCAGAGGAACCTATTGCCACTATCTTCCAATTAGAAATGTGTGTATTTATCTTTTACACTGACAAAATGATGAGTTCAGACAACCCTAATTCATTCAGCATAGTTGTAAGTACCCATCCCCCACTCAAACTGCTGTAATTTTATCAGCATCGCATGTACTTTTGTAAATTGTTAGTGTGGAACTAGCAACATTTATTTAATTTAGTATCAGTTTTAGTGCTATTTTCAGTCAGGAAGTCTATTTAATTTTTGCATTTCATTTCTATTTTTTCATAAAAACATATGAAAATTTGAATGCTTGATTTATTCAGGGACTTGTGGTATTTGAGTAAATACACTGTTAAATGTAACATACTGATTAATATGTTTAACACTCTACACATTCAAGTCTGTCTTTAATGCAACTCTGTTCACAATCTCTCCTTAATTTAAAATAACATTAAAATTGCAATCAACTGCTAGATGTTTCAGCCTTACTTGGCCATCCTCAGGCAACTGTTCACTTTTTGAAATTGCCACACTGCACTAGTTCTCAAGTCAGAATCTTTCAGTGCAATGCCTTTGATACAAAAGTGACATACACTCGACTAATGGGAACATACATACTAATTGAATTGAATTGAATTGAATTTATTTACATTCTATAAATCCTAAGCAGGTTAGTACCTTTGGATACAGAACAAGTCAAAATGTTACATACATAAGTACAGGCAATTTTAGCTTAAAAATTAATATAACTTAATTTTACATCATTCTCTATTTACATTGAAGTATTCATCTAAAGAGTAGAAGGAATGAGCATGTAGATAATTCTTTAACTCTGATTTAAACTTTTTAGTATCATTGCCCAAGTTTTTAATACTTTGTGGCAGATTGTTGAACACTTTTATGCCAGTAAAGTAGACTCCTTTTTGATATACTGATAAAGTTGATGAGGGTAGGT